CTTTCAAATAAATAAAATCTTGAAAAGAGTGACAGAGAGAGACGTTCCATCCACTGCTTCACTTCCCAAATGGCTGCAGCAGCCAGGTAGGGGCCAGGCTTAAGCTGGGAGTCGGGAGCTCCATCTTGCTTTCTCACACGGGTGCAGGGGCCCAGACACTTGGGCCATCTTCTGCTGCTTTCCCGGCGCATTAGCAGGAGACTGGATTGGAAGCAGAGCTGCCGGACTCGAAGGGTTGCTCCCATGGACCTGCGATATCAGCCTCACAAATGGCGGCCTAACTGCTGAGCCACAGTGCTGGCTCCCTCTGAACGCTTTTTTTTTTTTTTTTTTTTTTATTAATTTGAAAGAATTTCAGAGAGAGATCTTCCACCTGCCGGTTCACTCTCCAGATGGCTGCAACAGTTGGGCTGGGCCAGGCCGAAGCCAGGAGCCTGGGACTGCTTCTGGGTCCCCATGTGGGTGCAGGGTTAGCATGGCTCTGGGGCTGCCCTCCGTTGCTTTCCTAGGCACACCAGCAGAGAGTGGAATCAGCAGTGAGCAGCTGGGAATCCAGCCAGCACCCACAGGGGACGCTGGTGCCCGGGGGCAGCCTAACCTGCGCACAGCACTGGCCCTCTGGGCGCTTGCTCAGTGAGCGTGGAGAGTTGAGTCTGCTCCTGTGCCTCTGTAGCCCTCGGACCAGAACTCCTGTGGTTGGACTGTTAAGTGTCTGAGTAGTGCCTTTTAAAGATCATAAGGTGGGGCTGCCCTGTGGCGCAGAGGGTTAAAGCTCCGGCCTGCAGCACCAGCATCCCATATGGGCGCCGATCCGAGTCCTGGCTGTTCTGATCCAGCTCTCTGCTAATGGACCTGAGAAAGCAGCAGCAGATGACCCACGAGCTTGGGTCCCTGCGCCTTGGGAGACCTGGAAGAAGCCTCTGGCTCCTGGCTTCAGCCCAGCCTGTCACTTGGGGAGTGAACCAGCAGATGGAAGATCTCTCTCTGTCTCTACCTATCTCTGTAACTTTGCCTTTCAGATACATGAGATACATCTTAAAAAGATTATAAGTTTTTCTTGTTGTTGTTTCTGTGAGGTACAATTTGGTTTTAAATTTTTTAGTATTTCTTTTTTTTTCTTAAAAAAGATTTATTTATTTGAAAGACAGAGTTAGAGAAGGAGAGAGACAGAGGCAGGGACAGAGACATTTTCCATCGTCTGGTTCACTCCCCAAATAGCTGTACCAGGCCGCCTGGGCCAAGCTGGAGCCGGGAGCCTGGAGCTCCGTCCGGGCCCCCACGTGGATGGCAGAGCCCAGATGCTTGCTCCTGGATGCCTTGGCAGGGAGCAGCTGGGAGCTGAGCCAACGCCGTGTGGGCGCCAGCACCACAGGTTGGGGATTAGCCTGCTGTGCCCCAACACCAGCCCCCATAGTTCAGGTTTGAAAGGTTTTTATTTGAATTTTTTCCCTTTATTTCAAAGAGAGAGATTTGCTGTCTGCTTGTTTACGCCACAAATGCCTGCAACTGCCGGGCTGGGCCGGGCTGGAGAACCTCAAACTCGATCTGTGTGTCCCACGGGGGACTTGGCCGCTGTCTGGTGTCCCCCAGGGTGCACGTTAGCAGGGAGCCGGGTCAGTGGAGCAGCTGGGGCTGCCCCAGGCACTGCAGCGAGGGTGTGGGCTTCCAGAGGGCAGTTGAGCCGCTGGGCCGAGTTCCGCTTCCCTGACTCAGTATCTCGTGCTTCTCTGCTCTCTCAGAAGTCGTAAGAGTTCTTCTAGATATTTCTAGGGTTCTTCAAGTCGCCTCTCTGGCCCACCTGAAGTGATTTTTGCATGTCTGAGATAAAGGGCAGGGTCATTTGCAAACGGCCATGCAGCTGGTAGTGGTAGCGTGTAGACATGTATTGCCTCAAGGCCTGCAGCTGGGAGTCCGAGAGCCCTCCCCTGCACCGCTGTGTCCCCACCCAGCCTCACGTCTCCTCTCCCAGTGCAGAGGCCTCCTCTGGGACGACCTTGCTTACACTCCTTCCGCCGTCTTCGTCCGACTTGCCCTGCGCTCACTCTTCTAGCATCTGGGTGTCTGGCTGTGGCGGTCTCCCCTGGGCCGTGTGGCCCCTCTTGATAGATATTCGCATGGCTTCCAGTTTTTGCTGGCATAAAACCCCCTGGAATGAGGAGCATTATGCATGTATCTTTTCTTATTAAAATTGTTTATTTGAAAGGCAGATTCAGGGAGATCTTCTACCCACTGTTTCACTTCCTGAATCCCCGCAACTGCCAGGCTGGGCCAGGCCTGAAGCCAGGAGACCGTCTCCCGTGTAGGTGGGTGCAGCAGCCAGGTGACCAGAACGCGGTACCAGTACCGTCTCCTGTGTAGGTGGGTGCAGCAACCTGAGCCCTTGAGCCCTCACTGCCTCCAGACAGTCCTGGTGTGTCCAAACCCGGAGTCCAGCGCCTTTCCCTGTTCCCACAGTGCATCTGTGGGATAGCTTTCCAGAAGTGGGGCTGTGGGTCAAAAGTTAAATTTATCTTTCATTTTACATGGTGACTAGTTTTTAAAGCCACGATTTTAAGAAAAATAAGTTTTTAACAAATGATTGTTCTCAAGGGGTCATTGAAAACGAATGGCAGGTGGTCTTCGGAGACTTCTGATGTTAAGATTTCTTTCTAAACTTTTTTCCCCAATAAATGTGTGTGTGTGTGTGTGTGCGTGTGTGCGCGCGTGCCTATGTCTGCCTGTGCCCATGACACTCTAGAAGCTGTGTGTGTGCACGTGCCTACACGTGCAGACCACAAGGGGGAGAAGTGTGCTGGTGGCTCGTGGTCTGCAGTTCCCTAATGGCCAGCAGAGGCCGCTGTTGGATAGGGCTACAGGTGGGAAGGCTGTGGAGCCTGTGGGTAGGAGAGCAGGTCAGGGAGGCGTCACGTGGGGGAACCCCAGTGGAAGAGTGGTCCTGCCTAGGGCACACCTGGCAGGCTGCGCCCCTCCCCCACTGCTGTGGCAGTTTACCGCGTCTTACCTTACTTTGTTCTTTTTCTTTAATTAGGTAATTTGTGGATAAATTGCAACAATTTACACATCTTCATTTTTCATTTTGACTTCTTGACTCAGTGCAGGCCTCTTCCCACGTCTGGGGAGCAGAGGAGGCTGCTTTTAGACAGAAAGGGCAGAAGCAGCGGAAGGGTCCTTTGGAATTAGCGCCTGGTGGGGCGGGGACAGGGGACGGAGCCCTGGGGAAGTGCGCAGTTCAGGTCGCCTCTGGGTGTGAGGCCTGGAGCAGAGCGGGTGGGCTCTCACCCCGTGGAAGCGGCCTGTCGGGAGATTGGAGCTCTGATCCCTACTTGGCAGAAGGGCCTCGTGAGCTCCGTCTGAGCTCCGTGCCGGGAGCCCGCGTATGAGTGGCTCCAGCTTGGGTTGTAGTGGTCAGTTCAGAGGCCCTGTCTGCAGCAGCGGCCTCCTGGAACTTTGATTTCATCGTGGGAACTAGCCGAGGTTTCATATGATTGAGTGTGAACGGCGGCTGTTCCTGCTGCACGGCCTGCGCACCAGACACAGAGAGGTTGCTGGGCCTGGTGTTTACCCCTCCTCTGAGTCCTCCCTCCTTGAAATGCGTGGTTCAGTGGACTTGGGGTCAGCGCCACTGCTCACCCTGCTTCTCCGGCCCCCGCGCTGTCGCTTCCTCCTCCGCTCCTCCACGTCTGCTCACCCGTGCTTCCTTGGAGCAGGTCTCAGTAGTTCCAGCACCGGGGGCGTTCAGGGCGCAGTGGTTTTCCTGGGTCGGCCTTGTTTATGGCGGGGTGTTGAGCTCGGTGTTCCCTAGTCCTTGCAAAAGCAGGCAGTGACACCCTGGGAAGTGGCGCTCCGGAGGGCTCCGTCCACTCCTGTAGGTGCCCTGTGTCTGTGTGCACGCCCCCAGACGCACAACGCCAGTGGCCGTCTTTGCTTCCAGCATCACTCCCTGCCTCCCGCCTGCCCATCGACCCTTCTCGCCTGCTTGTGAAGCAGGTGGCCGTGAGCGGGGCTCCTTCAGGACCAGTGCTTCTGGCCTGCCGACTTCGTGCCTCGTTCTGTGTGCGTCTTGACCTCCTCTACTGTCCTCTGGGGGTTGATTTTGTGTTCCAGAAAGCAACTGAAATTGTTGGGTCGGCTTTATTGAGACAGGCCTGCACGTAATAAAAGTGCGGCTCTCAGATGCTGTCTGAGCTGTGACGGGTGCCTGTTGTTCAGCTGCCGGCGCTGCAGCCACAGGAGCCCTGGTGCCCTGCTGCCGGCCCTCCCGTCCCCCTAGGGGCTTCTGGCAGCGTTGCACTTCCTGTTGGGAGTTTTACCATTTCTAGAGTTTCGTGTGAATAGACTCAAGTCACGTGACCATTTGTGCCACACTTCTTTCTCTCAGCGCCATGCTGTTCAGGGCAGCGTGTGGCTGTGTGTGTCCGTGGTCTGTTTTCACTGCGCGGTGTAAGCAGGTCTCACCTCTGCACCGTGTGGTGGGCAGAGCCTGGCTCCAGTCTGCAGCAGCCTCTGGTCTAGAGCCACTGGGGGTCTGGGCACCTGTGGAACGTGGTCTGTGGGTCTCGCACTGCGGCGAGGTGGTGCAGCCGATGGCCAGCGTGCAGAATGGGATAGATCAGGTCACGTGACGCTTTTGCAGCTCACCGTGGCTCAGCGCTCTAGCCGGTCACTCTCAGAGAGGTTTGTGCCAACTTTTAAAGGGGCGGGAAAGACTGTTCAGTGGAAAATCAGGTGCCAGATTTATGAGGGCTAGCCAGAGTAACCAGCCGTGAGGGGTGCTCTGCAGAGATGGGGTCCCTGTTGCTTTCCACTCACAAATGAGAAGATGCACAATTCTGTGACTGTGAGGAACCCTGAGTGGACGAGGCTTTTGCTTTGGGCAGGCAGGTCCGCTCGTTGAGTGTGTGCTCTGTGATTGACCAGCTGATATAACTGGTACCGCTGTTTTGTTAAAGTGACGCAACTTTCATTCTGTTTGGTGATGGTTTTGCTTTTTAATTTTGTAGAATTAACGCTGAATCCCCCAGAAGGAATTGTGGCAGGTAAGACACTAACATTTACTTCTTTGTAACTTTTAATTGCCAAAGTTGCTTTCGAACTTGAAATGTTTTGGGATTTTTTTCTTGCCCCGCAGGTCCCATGAACGAGGAGAATTTTTTTGAGTGGGAGGCGCTGATCATGTAAGTTACTCCCGTGTTGCTGGTGTCCAGCGCTGAGGCTGTCCAGAAGCATCTGCTGGGAAAGGCCACGTGGACACGGACGCGCTGTGCTCTCCCGTGTCCGTGTGTGGGCAGAAGCAGCCGCAGCAAGAGGTCCCCAGGGAGTGGCAGTGAAAGTTGTGTTTGTAGGATTTTAAAATAATTTTTAACGTCGTATTGTCATGGTGGGTTAGCCTTCAGCCGGGGTGACTCGGCCTTCCAGAAGCCCTGAAGCTCTGAGGCCTGGATAGAAGGGGTCGGGGCGACTGCACAGGGCCCGCCAGCTGCTGGGACCTCTTCCTTCACCTCCTGCCCTCACCACTCACCCCTGTGAGTGCCCCTCCTATTCCTGTGCCCTGGAGCTGCCCTGGCCTGAAGCCCCATCCAGACCTCCCGCTGCTGCCTGGCTCACAGCCCTGCTGCTGGCAAGAGGGTCGAACAGTCCTGTGATCTCTGCCTTCTTTGTTCCTTGGCTAGCTGGGGGTGGGAGGGCCCTTCCCGGGCTGACTTTTTTCACAGCAGGGTCAGGGAGACGAGGGAGCTGAGCGCGTGAGCAGTGCGGCTTTCTCCTTAGTGAGCTGGATGATCCTGTGCTGGGTGTTGCCGCGTTGAGAAGTGCTGTGGTGAGTGGGGCGGGACAGGGCAGAGGCTCTGCTGGGCCAAGCGTGAACCCGCTCAGGGACAGAATCCTCCCCTTCATCAAGCGTTCGGCATTTGCCTGTCACTTGTATCACGTCACTTCTTCATGACGTCTGGAAAACAAGCTGTTACCAAATGTTGTCTGGGAGGTTAGATAACACATGAAAATTGTTTTGAAAAATGAGATTTTTTGATTAGCAAAAAGTTTTTTAAAAGATTATCTATAAACACTGTCTAGACAGAGTGCAGCCTGCCTCACAGTCCCTGGTCATTTCTAGCATTGCTGATTGATTGAGCTTAGGGCACATATTTTTCCTATGTCTGAAAGTTCTAGAACATGTGTGTATGAGATGTGGCACCATCAGGACCCCCATCCTCTGTCCATTTGGGCTACATTCCAACCTGTAGCAGGTGCCTGAGCCTACAGACGGCACCAGACTCTGTGCGGGAGACTTTGGAGTTTGTAGAAGATGCACACGTTTCCTGTACCCGTGATGTAAGGGTGCTGCACAAAGTTCATGGAAAATGAAGTTAATAGATGTTTATCTGGTGCAAAAATTGTGAAATCCATACATACTAGGAGTTTCCAAAAATCAATGCAAAATATGTACTATGGAAAACTGCATGGATTTCAAAAGTTTTTTGCATCAAAGTAATCATTTAATTCCATTTTCCAGGAACTTTTTGAAGTCCTCTTGCAGAATTTGATTTATAGGCCCTTTGCAAGGTAAACAGTATTTAATAATAAAATGGAGCAGTAGTAACAAAATGTGGCAATAAGTGTTACTGAATCATTTATTTCTGGAATTTTCCATGGATATTGTCAGACTGCGGTGCACTGTGGGTACCCGGAACTCCAGTGCTGTGTCTTTCACCCCAAGGCGGTCAGCGGCGCCTCAGCCTGTGCTGTCGTGCAGCTAGTGGATGACAGCAGTGTCCTGCATGGTTCATGACCTGCTTGTCTGGTCTGCTGTGTCCTGTGCCACCACAGAGACACCTGCCATCACTCCCACGCCACCTGGACAGCACCTGCTGGTGGGCCAGGGCACACCCGCAGGAGATGTGTCAAGAGCTCATTAAGGGAACAGTTGAGCCCTGTGGTTGGTTTTTGAAACTTGTTCATTGTTAAAAATCTGTTAATGTTAACTATTACTGATTTTAGATAAACAGCATAAAACTAAACCAATATTTTGAAAGCCTGTCTTAAAAAGTATCAGAGCTATTTTTAGGTAGAGCACTTTGTGTTTGAATGAAGCTTTTACATTAACGTGGAATTCCCCGCTTCACGATCTGCTGAGTTTGTGGGTTTTGGTTCTGTTCCAGACCCTTCACAAACAAGAGGCCGTTTACAGATGTACTCAAAGCATCTACCAGGGACTTAACTGTCCTCCTGCGGGTGTGTCTCGCCCTGCTGTCTTGGCAGACAGCCGCCCGAGGTCTTACTCCCCAGTGGGGCTTTCTTCTCTTCTGGTTCTCCCTCGGCAGCTTCCGGGGCAGCCTCTGCCGCGGTGTTTCTGAGCGTGGTCACTCCGGGAGGCCACGGCTGCCACGGCGCACCTCCAGGGCCGCCTCATGCGGCGACAGCGTCTTCAGATAAGCAGGCGACAGGAGCTGAGCTCCTTTGATACTGGGACCTTGACTGCAGAGGGGAGGGGTCTCGTAGGTGAGCCCAGGCTTCTGCCCAGGTGGCATGGCCCCGCTGGGTAATGGGGCAGATTGTTGAGCCAGAGAGGGACCCAGAGGAGGAAAACACCGGGCTGGAGCGAGCGGTTCCACGGGGTACGCGGGGCTGGCCGCTGTGGCTCTGCGGTGCTGTTGCTGTGTGGCCCCTGGCCTTGGCCTCTCTGAATTCCTCTTTTTTTTTTTTTTTATTTCATCACTATGAAGAGGCATAGCCTCCTTTAGCACATGGCCTTGGGTCCCAGGCAGCCAGAGCATATGAGGCTGGTGTGACCCCTTCACCACAGCACTGGGTCAGAATGGGTGCTGCACCTGCCATGCGGGACAGCTTGGGGGAGGTGTGCACGCCCTGGGACTCTGCTCTCCCATTCTGTCAGTGTTTTAGAAGCAGCTGGCATGGCGGCCCCCTGCTTGGTCGGCGGCCTGGTTGCTGTCACCTCTCCAGACGAGTGGCTCTCGGGGCTGTGGTCGCGTAAGAAGCGCCTTCCCTTTGCTGAGGGTCGGGGACCTGGGCTGAGCACACCTCCGAGGTTACTGTCAGTGTGTTGGGGCCCAGATGAGGAAGGAGCTTGTCCACGTTTCCAGCTGTGAGCACTGTGAGCTCACAGGTCCCCAGCGGGCACGTTCCCAGCAGGGCGCCCTCCCTGGGGTGCAGCCGTCGTGATCTTGGGAGCCATTTTGGGTCAGGATTCTTCATGTGCTGGGGATCTCTCAGTACGCCTCCTGGAGGTGTGTGTCCTGTGGGATAAACTTGAGACCCCCAGTAGATGGCTCCAGCTGTCCGGGGAGTCTCTGACCCTGCCTGAGCAGTGGCTTCTGGGAAGTGCTACAGAGATCCTTGGGGGAATCACAAAACATAAACCTGGCTGTCCAGCATCACCCATGTAGCACCCATACAGTGGAGAGCCACATGGCACGGCAAGACCAGGCAGGGCCTGCCTGCTGTCGCGGAGAGTGGTGTCCGCTGTCAGTGGACACTGCGGAGTGTGGAAGAACACGTTGAGACCAGTGCTTTCCACCGGGCGAGATTTTGCTCCCCCGTGACAGTACCTGGAGTCATGGCTCTCGCCGCGTTGGGGGCTGTGCTCCAGGCCTCGGTCAGTAAGCTGCCCGCAGGCACACCCGGCCCCGACGGACGAGGGTCTGGCCGCGAGCGTCAGTGCTGCTGGGGCTGAGGGGCCCTGTGCAGTGCTGTCCCACGGCTACGCCTTTCGCAGCTGTATTGAGATACAGTTCACGTCGTGTACTTTGGCCGGTCTGAGGTGACCAAGTCATAGTTTTGGGAAGCTTGTGGAGTTGTGAGGTCATCAGCACAGTGGAGTGTTGGGCCATTTCCACCAGAGTCCTCATGCCTGTCTGTCCTCTGCCCGCGGCGCTGCCTTCTGGGTGTGGAGTTGCCTTTTCCAGTGTCTGAACTCTGAGGTCTGGCGTCTTCCAGCGCCCTGTGCGTGTGCTTGTCTGTATTAACGTGCCTCAGCGTATGTCAGCGTGGCTTAGTGTGTCCCAGCATGCTTCAGTACGTGTCAGTGTGTGTCTCTCAGTGTCTCAGCGTGTGTCTGTGTGTGTCAGCTTATCAGTGTGTGTCCGTGTGCCTCAGCTTATCTCAGTGTGTGTCCGTGTGCCTCAGCTTATCTCAGTGTGGCTTAGTGTGTCCCAGCATGCTTTAGCATGTGTCAGTGTGCGTCTCTCTGTGTCTTCAGCATGTGTCCGTGTGTGTAGCGTCTCAGCGTGTGTCAGTGTCTCAGCATGTGTGTCTCAATGTGTTAGTGTGTCTCGGTGTGTGTCCCTCAGTGTCTCAGCGTGTGTCCATGTGTCAGCATGTGTCACATGTGTTAGTGGGTCTCAGCGTGTGTCAGTGTCTCAGCATGTGTCCGTGTGTCTCAGCATGTGTCACGTGTGTTAGTGGGTCTCGGTGTGTGTCAGTGTGTCCCTCAGTGTCTCGGCATGTGTCTATGTGTCTCAGCATGTGTCACATGTGTTAGTGTGTCTCGGTGTGTGTCAGCGTCTCAGCGCGTGTCCGTGTGTCTCAGCATGTGTCACACGTGTTAGTGGGTCTCAGTGTGTGTCCCTCAGTGTCTCAGCGTGTGTCCGTGTGTCCAAGCGTGTGTCACATGTGTTAGTGGGTCTCGGTGTGTGTCAGTGTGTGTCCCTCAGTGTCTCAGTGTGTGTCCGTGTGTCTCAGCATGTGTGAGCATGTGTCACATGTGTTAGTGGGTTTCGGTGTGTGTCAGTGTGTGTCCCTCAGTGTCTCAGCGTGTGCATGTCTCAGCATGTGTCAGTGTGTGTCACGTGTGTTAGTGTGTCTTGGTGTGTGTCCGTGTCTCAGTGTGTGTCCCTCAGTGTCTCAGCATGTGTCAGCGTGTGTCATGTGTGTTAGTGGGTCTCTCGGCATATGTCCCTCAGTGTCTCAGCGTGTGTCCGCATGTGTCAGCATGTGTTACATGTGTTAGTGGTCTCAGCGTGTGTCCGTGTGTGTCAGCGTGTGTGAGCGTGTGTCACATGTGTTAGTGGGTCTCTGTGTGTCAGTGTGTGTCCCTCAGTGTCTCAGCGTGTGTCAGCGTGTGTCACGTGTTAGTGGGTCTCGGTGTGTGTCAGGTCTCAGCGTGTCTTGGCCTCTGTCAGCAGTTCTGCCGTTGGCTGTAGCGTGGACTTGCCACCTGGCG